TTAAGGGTTTGATCTATTCAGATTTTCTCTGCACACTGATGATATCTGGAGAGTTTTGCTAACAACTGGGATGAGTACAGCAACCAAAGAGGTCTATGTGATCGTATCGGGCATATCTGTGTCTGTATCCAAAACAACCTCAGGGGCCCTGAAGTGAACTGCTCCTGTTTGTAGGACACAGCGTAAGAGCAGTGAGTTGGTGGCCTGCAGGAGTCAATGCCAGGGCTTCTGCGCTCTGAGGAAGCGGATGCCTCACGTGGTAGCAGATGAGGATGGGAGGAGGACGGAGAAAACAGGAGAGCGCTGTTCTCCGAAACCAGCGGATGTGAGGTATGAACCCCATGAGCAGAGCGGGTCATGGCAGAAGCAAAAGATTTGTTTTCTTAAGAGACTTTGTCAGATCATGAGTCCAGGCGGTGCTGTCAGTGCCACTGGAGGCCGCAGGGCAGCAGGTTCTGCGGGGAAGGCAGCACAGCTCTGGCACCTGAGCACAGGGGTCTTTGGGAGGACTGGGGGCAACTGCCAGCACAGACTGGGGTCCTCACAGAGAGGCATCTGGACGTTTATGGGCAGACCAGGGAACACCAGGAGGAGAGATGGATGCCCTTGTCAGTGATGCTGCCTCACAGGTGGGACGATTAGCAGGATAAGACACTCTGTGGATTGTCCTCTAGCTTCCCTAGAAACCATAGCTGGGGCCATGTTTGGTGAGTGCTGATGCTTTAGCACCAGATAGAAAGGATGAGGGGAGGGGAAGGAAGCAGGGAAGGATGAGAAGTCCCCACTGGCACTGCATTGCCACAGGCTGCCAGGACCTCAGCTGCCTGCGTGGGTGCCCACTGTCACACAGGACATCTCCTTGCACCCGAGAGAGAAGAAATGAGACTTTACTGGCTCCTTCCTGCCTTATTCCTATGGATCAAACTTTGCCCTCTGTATCCTCAGACCAGGGAAATGTGTGGATATTTTGGTTTTAGGGAAATGACCACAGAGAAAGGCAGGCCACTCAAAGTTCTAAGAGTGACTCTCTCTTAGTATGTTTAGGCTGCTCTGACAAAAATACCATAAACCGCATGGCTTATGAGCAACAATTTATTTCTCATAGTTCTGCAGGCTGGGAAGTCCAAGATCATGGTGCTGGTAGTTCCAGTGTCTGCTGAGGGCCTGCTTTCTGGCTCATTGACAACCTTCCCTTCACTGGGTCCTCACTTTGTGGAAGGGGCACTAATGCCAGTCATGAATGCTCCACTCTCATGACCTAAGCACCTCCTTCAAACACCATCACATACAGCATATGGTTTCAACATGGGAATTTGGGGGGTGGGGGGGGGCACAAGTATTCAGTCCTCTCGGCACGCTCCTTCTTGGATTGAATTCTTCTGAGAAGAGGCATTTGAGCTAAACCCTGAGGGTTGGCATTCCAAATAAAGAAATGAGGATGTACCCAGATACCAAGACCACAAAATGCAAGGAGTGTTTGGGGACTCTCAGGAGATGATCTTAGTGCAGACATAAGGTTTCAGTCAATTTTATATTTCAGGATAAAGAATTTGAACTTCATTTCTTAGGCCATAAGCTGTCTATTGAAAAAAAAAATATACACACACACACACACACACACACACACACACACACACACTAGAGGCCTGGTGCACAAAATTTGTGCACTGGGGGCTGGGAGGGGTCCTCTCAGCCCGGCCTGCACCCTCTTGCAGTCCAGGAGCACTCAGGGGATGTTCCACTGACGGCTTAGGCCCGCTCCCCATCCTTAGAGCTGCTGTGGAGGTGGGAGAGGCTCCTGCTATGGCAGGTGTGCTCGCCAGCCAGCCGTGAGTCTGGCTTCTGGCTGAGAGGCGCTCTCCCTGTGGGAGTGCACTGACCACCAGGGGGCAGCTCCTGCATTGAGCATCTACCCCTGGTGGTCAGTGTGCATCATAGTGACCAGTCCTTCTGTTGTGAAGTCAATTTGCATATTAGCCTTTTATTATATAGGACTAGAGGCCTGGTGCACAAAAATTTGTGCACTCGGGGGGGGGGGGGAGTCCCTCAGCCCGGCCTGTGCCCTCTCACAGTCTGGGACCCCTCAGGGGATGACCACCTGCTGGCTTAGGCCAGCTCCCCAGGGGATTGGGCCTAAGATGGCAATCAGACATCCCTCTGGAAGCCCGGCAGACCTAGGGGGATGTCCACTTGCCAGCGGGGAGCAGACCTAAGCTGCAGTTGGACATCCTTAGCGCTGCTGAGGAGGCAGGAGAGGCTCCCACCACCACTGCTGTATTGGCAGCCATCAGCCTGTCTTGTGGCTGGGCAGAGCTCCTCCACTGTGAGAGCGCCCTGACCACCAGAGGGCAGCTCCTGCATTGAGTGTCTGCCCCCTGGTGGTCAGTGTGTGTCATAGTGACCAGTCATTCCCAGTCCTTCTGCTGTTAGGGTCAGTTTGCAAATTACCCTTTTACTATATAGGATAGAGGCCTGGTGCACGGGTGGGGGCCAGCTGGTTTGTCCTGAAGGGTGTCCCGGATCAGGTGGGGGTCCCGCTTGGGTGCCTGGCCAGCCTGGATGAGGGGATGATGGCTGTTTGCAGCTGGTCACACCCCCTTCAGGGTGGGGGTCCCCACTGGGGTGCCTGGCCAGTCTGGGTGAGGGGCTGAGGGCCGTTTTCAGGCTGACGGGTGACTGAAGCTCCCAAACTCTCCTTTTTTCTTTTTTATTCTGGGATTTATTTACCTTCTATGGCTGTCACTGGAACTGAGAGCCGGCTTTAGCTCTGAGGCTTGGCTCCAGCTCTGAGACCTTGGCTGCTGAAAGCAGGTATCTGGGTTTGTTTGGCTTCTATAATTGAAACACTGTTGCAGCTCCAGCTCTGAGGCCCGGCTGGCTGAAAGCAGGTTTCTGGGGTTTGTTTAGCTTCTATAATTGCAACATTGTTTCTTAGAGTGCAGCTCAGAGGCTGGCAGCGGCATGCGGGGAACTTTGGCTTCCTCCATCACTGGAGCAAGCAAGCCTTATGTTCGCTTCAGCTGCCTGGCTGCCGCCGGCCATCTTGGTTGGCAGTTAATTTGCATATCGCCCTGATTAGCCAATGGGAAGAATGCAGAGGTATGGTTAATTACCATGTTTGTCTATTATTAGATAGGATTCCTCACCTGAGGATATGTTTACTGATTTTAGAGAGAGGGAGAGAGAGAGAGAGAGAGAGAGAAACATTGATATGAGAAACTTCAATAGAGTGCTTCCTGCATGCCCCCTCACCAGGGATCAAACTGCAACCTAGGTATATGCCCTGATTGGAAATCAAACTCACAGCCTTTTTTGGTTACAGGAGGACACTCAGCCAATTGAACAACGGGGTCAGGGCTCCATTGATATCTTTACCTAGAGATCCTATGCAGTGGGAGAGCAGAGCTCAAGTTTTCTAGTTTCCATCAGTGTGGATTGTACAGCTAAGTCTACGGAGAGGGAGGGCCGGTAAAGCTGGGGTGCTTCATCCAGGTCTAGGGGTCACCCGGCGGTGTGTCTGTGAAGCTCAGAAATTGCACGCCATGTTTCTGTGAGGACTCCATGTCTTTCCTGCACTTTTCACAGGGTCTGGCCCTACAGGGTGAAGGAGCACCTGCAGAGAGGAAATCAGCGCGCCCCTCACTGCCCCAGTCCCACGGGGGAGCGAGGAGAACCGGCCTGGAAGTGCGGCAGCTCCGGGGGGGAAGGAGCTCAAGCTCCTAGTGACAGGACCCGGCGCAGATGGAGAGGCCAGGACGGTCCGGTCACAGCTCAGACTCCAGCGGACCGGGTCCTGCTTCCGGGCTCCACGCAGCGCCGGGGACGGAGGCGGTACCAGCTGGCGGACCCAGCATCCTCCCCCAAGGGGAGCAGAGCCGGACCGCCGGCTGCGGCACCTCCCGCGAGACCCGGTGCTTCAAGGCCCCGCCCCCGGGCCCCGCGCAAAGCAGGACGGGAAACTAAGCCGGGTCCAGTCGTTTGCTTTTAGAGCGGGAGTTAACGCCCGCCGGTTCTCGGGAGCGGGGGACGGAGGGGGAGGAAACGCTCAGCGGCGGCGGAGTCCCCGTGACCGACTCTGCTGTGGCCCCGCGGGCGCAGCCGGGCTCCCGCGCCTCACGCGTCCCGAGTGACTCAGGCGAGGCCCGGCCGGCGGCGCTGCTGGTTGCCGCGTGTCCCTGTCCCCGCACCCGACCGCCCCGGGCGGCGTGGCCTGGGCTCCGAGGCGCCCCTTCCCGCGCCGCCCCCCGGCCTCCTTCCCAGCTGAGCGCGGTGTCCGCGCGGCCGCGGCTCCGGGCGGGCCCGCCCCGCGGCCGGGGCTGCCTGAGGCCCCGGCTCAGCCCGCGGGTCTCGCCGACCCTGAGGCCCCGGACGCGGCCCTTCCGCCCCGACCCGGCTCCGGTGCCTCTGGTGCTTCGGGTCCCCCGAGCCGCCTCGCGTGCCCCTGGCAGGTCCGTGTTCCCAGGAAGCGAGGCCGCGGTCCCCATGCAAGCGCATCAGTTCAACGCGGTGCTGTTATAGGGCCCCTGGGAAGCGCACACACAGTTGGGGCTGCAAAGTACTAAATATACTAATCAGCACAAAGTGGTCATTGTTCTGTGCAGGCGATTCTTTAATTACCGATTCTGTGGCTTCCTCTCAGTTAATATGTTGGTTAACCGGTTGACTAGAACATAGGAAGGCCGGCTGGATTTTGTGGGTGTTTGGTGTAAGTTTTATAAGGCACTGTGGGGTGCACAGTCCTCTGCCAGCGGCTGTACCCACGTGAACGCCGGGCAGTAGACAAAGAGGACATGAGAAGACAGAGGCATATAGGAGAGTCTTTTTAAAAAAATATTTTCATTTTTTTACATAGAGGAAGGGAGAGGGATAGTTAGAAACATCATGAGAGAGAAACATCGATCAGCTGCCTCCTGCACACCCCCTACTGGGGATGTGCTGCAACCAAGGTACATGCCCTGGACTGGGACCCTTCAGTCCGCAGGCTGTTCTCTATCCACTGAGCCAAACCGGTTAGGGCAGGAGAGTCTCTTTTGCAGGCCATGTAGCCATTGCTAACAAGGAGCCAGCAGACAAAACGGTGCTTCAAAGTAGCTTCACACAGTGGCTGCGCCAAGCAGCCCTTGCTAATACAGTAGCAAACAGGAGCCATACCAAGCAGCCACCCACTGGCTGGTTAGTAACACGTTTATACTAACTTAGACACAAAGGCTTCCTGCCGAGTAGTGACATCAGTATTTGGGTTATAGTAAGGTACTCCTGCCCAGTGTGTACAGTACAATCTCTGTGTCCTTGCTTAGATTGGCCTTGAACATCCTGATTAGGATTCTCCTGCTCAGATTGGCCTTGAACATCCGGCGTACTCTGATGAGGCTCCCACAGGCACTATCTCAGTCATGGCCCAAGTTTAAGTGTTCTCAAAACTGACTTATCAGAAGGAGGAAAAAGTGTCATGAATGTGACATAACCGTTCTCTCAGGAATAACACTTAATTCACAGAAAACTTAACTGCAACCCTAGAGGAGCTGCATGGGAACCACAGGCTCAGATATTTCAGCCAAGAAAGCTGCTGGTGCCAAAAAGACCTCAGAGGAGAAACCAAGTCAAATTAAACTGTTTGTGATGTGAAAGCCATTTCCAACACTGTTTTTAAAGGTTGTCTAGTGCTGACATGAATGTTTGTTTTGATTCCTGTATTTGAGGATTGCAGCTTAACCTCTATGCCACAAAACCGTTTTCCATATAAGAGTTGTCTGAGACAGAACTGTCATCCACCTTCTACAGTGGCCGAATTTGACTGGCTGTCAGTTACTGTTCGTAGAAATGTTCTGGAAGTAAGGGGTGAGGGCTGTTTCCACCCACAGCTCATCCACTTCTTTGTAGTAATAAGCTGAACTGTAGTAGATTATGTTCTTTCAAAGCTAGAACTGTTAAGTTTGCAAACAAGCATGACTGTTCCATTGCCAGTAATTTTATTCATGCCTTGGTCTTTTGGGTTTGCACCAGAAATTGGAATTGCTTGCAATTATATGTTTAGGTGGATTGAGGCTCAAAATTAATGATGACATTGAATAGTTTCTTAAAGCACCAAGTGGTTCAACTTTTGATGAATTAGAAATGATATGTTGTTTTTGTTTGTTTCATTTCAATATGCCAGTGATCTGTTAGGTGTGCTTTTTAAATGTTGTTCCAGCATTTGAACAGAAATGCCCTTAAATGTTGAGAGCCATTTACTATAAAGTAAAACTTGTCTAAATCCTTAAATGTGAAATGTGGAGAAATTAGTGAGTAGTAGTAGGAAATGTAGGATCAATATTGTCAGACATAAGTGCTTATCTCTCAGCCCAGTGATTTCCTACAGTTGATTTTGTCAGCAACTAACATGTAGCTGTAATGTTAATTATGTACTGATAGTGTAAGGTAACTATGAAATGGTAACTAATTACCTGAAAGAATCAGATCTGGAATGCCCTTTGATGTTATGATTACTTGTACACCTACAGTGTGATAGGATTGTATGACACTCATCTAAGGATTAATGGCTCTTCTGTAAACTTCTGATAATTTTCTTCTCGTTTTGATTCCAACAGCTGTCCAGAATGTGTTTGAATTCATACAGAAATAATATTGATATCTGAAAGCCATGTTGAACTTCTCTGAAGAAAGGGAAACAATGATTGCAGCTGGGGATTTGCAGGAATTTGTTCCTTTTGGTCGAGACCACTGCAGACACCACCCTAATGCTTTGAACCTTCAGCTTCGGCAGCTGCAGCCAGCCTCTGAGTTGTGGTCGTCTGATGGTGCTGCTGGCTTGGTGGGATCCCTGCAGGAGGTTACAATCCACGAAAAACAGAAGGTTTTATCAAGGTTCTCAGTTTGCTTTTGAAATGTAGAGAGATTCGATCTACTTGTAATTTAAGGCTACCCAGATGCAACTGAGAAATGAGTATGATGCTACTTCTAGGGTATTGGTTAAGATTTGGTCATTTTTATCAAAGCTAAAAATAATGACCTTAATTGTATTATAGTGTCATGGCTGTTTAGACATATAACTCAGGGATTTATAATGAGAGTCACTATGATTATGGTCCATTTAAATCTCTTTTTCTTCACTTAGTATGTGGGACCAGATTTCATGTTATTTGATGGTTAGATAGTCGAGTTAGCAATGGTCCCTGCTGCCAAAAACTTACATGTTTCTAGAGGAGAAAAGAAATGCCACATAAGTAGATACAGTACTAGTTTTTAAATAGGGGAATGAGAAGTAAGTGCATGTTAAACAGTCAGTCTTTCTCATCTTAATTCCATTTCTGTATCCCTTTTGGGATACCAAAATTTCCAGGAGCGGAAGTCTGTAGTTAGGAATCCAAACCTTTCTCTGCCCTGTTCATTTTGATGGTTGGCACAAGGGCAGGAAGGTGAATGTATATGCAGTTGTGAAGCAGGGAAGTCTGCATGGTGGGTAAGCTCCCCCAGTGTCCCATGTGCACTTCACTGCCCCCTCTGCTTCACCCCCCATATGCTTCATATGTCTTTAGTCTCCCAAGAATGTTGGTTTAATTTTTGGATATATAGGTAAGGTCTAGTTTTTGTTTATTTATGTTTTTGGCAGCATAAAATGGTAATGTAATAATAAAATACTTAATATAGAGAATTCTTGAGGTAAATTCCCATTTTTGAAATCCTGTAAGATACAGTATGATACATACACCCACACCCCCCTCCTCTGTTAATCAGTGGCACCAAACCTAAGAGTTGGGCTTGGACTGAGTCTTACTCCACAGACAGAGTAGGAGACTTGTATCTGGATTGCTGTTCAATTTTAATTAATAAATCTTGCTCCATAATGTTGCAAAAGAAATAAAAACCGCGTAAACATGTCTTACGTATGTAAATTTTTAAGGAAAGCTGGCAGTTAAGGAGAGGCGGAAGTGAAATTGGAGAAGTGGATTATGACGAGGAACTCTATGTGGCTGGAAATATGGTGATCTGGAGCAAAGGAAGTAAAAGCCAGGCATTGGCTCTTTACAAGGCCTTTACAGTTGATAGTCCTGTTCAACAGGTGAGTTGATTTGAATTTTAGTATTTGATTGATTATTGAGTAATTTTTTTAAAAAAACAAAGTTTTTATCCTAAAATTTAACAGAAATAATAAAAACAATATATAATGATCCCAGTAGCTAGATATATGTTTTAACATGTAGTGAAGATAATGGTAGGGAAATAAGCATTTCATTTATTTTCTATATCATCATTTTTTGCACTGTTCTTTATCAATTTCATGGTAATGTTTAAACACTTGAGTAATTCAATTAGTTATTGCCAAAAAAATTTATAAGACTTAAATTTAAGGGTATAAGAATATATTAGCACATGATTATATTTGGTTGCAAAGTGTTAAATAAATAAAAATCAAGTTCATAGTAAAAATACTCAGAGAGTAAGGGAAAGGAAAAAAAAATAATTTGCTGAGGAAGATGGCGGCGGTATAGGCAGACGCGTCCCAGGTCGTGTCCCTGAGCAAATGGAGTGAGCAGCTGAAACTAGTAACATCCACCCCGAATTGGCGAAATTCCTCAGCTGGCGAGACGGTTTGCAGCCGGGAAGAGCAGAACTCCCCTGGAAAGGTAAAAAAAAAAACAGGGATTTGGGCAGGAAAGTTTGCCAGACCTCTGAGCCCAGAGAGTCGGAGGGAGACCGCGTGGCAGACAGCCGCGTCCCTTGGGACAGGCACAGCCCCTAACAGGGGAAAGGAGAACCGCGGGATTCCTGGCGCTGCCGGGGGAATTGAGAGCTCGGTCTGTGATCACAGAGGACTGAGCCTAAAGGGGGCAGCCTGAAGAGCTGACCAGACCATGCAGTCCCGGTAAGAGAAGAAGCTTACAGAAACCAAGCCTTCCCCGTTTCCGCGGCCGGCGTTTGTTTGTTTGTTTTCACTGAACCCTGTTCATGGGACATTTCGGATACAGACACTCACCTGTGCTGAAGAGAGGGAGAGTGTGCGGAGGAGTGGAATCTGGGGAGAGACTGAGGAGAGAAGGGGGGCCGGGAGAGGTGGCAGCGAATTGAGTGCTGAGACACCCCTGAGCCCAGGGCTGAGGCAGCCATTCTTTCCGGAGAGTGAGACTCCTCCCCCCAGCCCCCAGGCAAGGAGCACAGCCACACCCAGATTCCACCCTGTAGGAGATCAAGGATTAAAATAACCTGATCAGTCCCTGGGAGTTAACAGGGTCTGGCCTATAGAGGGATTTTCAATCCCAGCAACAACACAGCACTGGTAACTCTTACGCAGCCAGCTCTGGGCAGTGAACTTCCACTGGACAGAGAGGCCCTGTAGCCTCAGAGGCCAACCCCAGAACACTGCCACCCAGAGGCTGACCCACAAACTGACTCTTTGCTAAACACAAAATAAGGCAGTCTGGGAAACAAATGCGGCTTGCTTTAAAATAAGGACTGTGGTTTACAACACAGAGGAACAGTGTATCGCAGGGAAACTCAACACTCTCCTGAATACCTGGCAGGTCTAAGGCGAGCCACACTGAAGAATAGAAGAACCGAAGGACCTTCACTACTGCAATATTTTTTTTTTCTTTTTTCACCTTTTAACTAAGAAACCAATTTTTTTTCTTTTTTTTTCTTTTCCTCTTCTTCTTCTTTTTTTTCTTCTTTATTCCATCACCTGATTTTACCCTTTTAATTACTACCTTCTTATTTTTAACCAGTATTATTACTGCTACCATTTTACCATTTTTTTTTTAAGTGCCATTTTATTTTCTCTTTATTTTATTTTGGGATTAGTGTTCTCCATTCTATTTTCATCGTTATATTATTGGTTGTTTCTAATTTGCATTCATCTCCAGGGAGCTGTTGCTGGAATTTATTGGGATTAATGGCTGTTCTATAGGAGTATTCTCCTCATATAAAAAAGTCTCTTCCCCTCTTCCACTTCATTCTCTCTTTTCGCTCTTTTTTTTTCTTTTCCTTTCTTTTCTCGCTTTTACTTTCCCCCCTCCTTTTTCCCAATTTCATTTTTGCACTCCTTTTTTTGGTCCCCAATTTTCTTTTCTTTTTTCTCTTTTCTCTTTTTCTCTTCCTTCTTCCTAATCCCCTAATTCTCTTAATTCAGGTGGTCACCTTTATTTGGGGTTATTAATATCGTGAATATATTTGTGTATAGTGCCTGGTACGTGGTGCCTTGTTGTGTTGTATTTTGTGCCTTTAAATCAACGCAGCAGATCCAAGCAACAGCAACCTCCTGAGCACCACACCCTCTGCTGAGGAACAGCAGCTGTACGTGAAACCTCGCCCCACCAGCCAGAAGAGCCACCACAGCTGTGAACAGCACCCACCAGAGGAGTTGCTGCCAACTGAAGAGCAGCTGCTACCGCAACCGCCCGAAGAGCAACCGCAGACCAAGGAGTCACTGCCACCAAGGGAGCAGCCACTGAACGACTCAACGTCTAGATATGTCAGTGAGATCAAACATGGGTAGACAAAGAAACCCCCAAAGGAAAGAGAAAAAAATGAAAAGACAGGAGGAGAGCCTAAGGGAGCTTTGGGACAACATGAAACGAAACAACATACGAATAATAGGGGTACCAGAACAACAGAAGGATGAACAAGGATTAGAAAACCTATTAGAAGAAATAATATCAGAAAACTTCCCTGAGGTGGGGAAGAAAAAAGTCACACAAGCCCAGAGAGTCCCAAACAAGGTGAACCCAAAAAGACCCACACCAAGACACATCATAATTACCATGGCAAATGTTCAGGACAAAGAGAGAATCTTACAGGCTGCAAGAGAGAGACGGAAAGTTACATACAAGGGATCTCCCATTAGATTGTCAAATGATTTCTCAACAGAAACACATCAGGCCAGAAAAGAATGGACGGAAATTTACAAAGTGATGCAAAGCAAAGGACTGAATCCAAGAATACTCTATCCAGCAAGGCTATCATTCAAACTTGAAGGGGAAATAAGAAGCTTCACAGACAAAAAAAGGCTAAGGGAGTTTATCACCACCAAGCCAGCAATGCAAGGAATGCTAAAGGGACTGGTATAAAAATAAGAAATAAAAAGCTCAGAAAGAAAACAGCCACACAAAAACAGAAATGCCTACAAACAAGTACCTTTCAATAATAACTTTAAACGTAAACGGACTAAATGCTCCAAACAAAAGACATCGAGTGGCTGAATGGATAAAAAAACATGACCCATACATCTGCTGTCTACAAGAAACCCACCTCATTAGAAGGGACTCACACAGACTGAAAGTGAAAGGATAGAAACATATCTTTCAGGCAAATGGAAAGGAAAAGAAAGCTGGGGTAGCAATACTTATATCGGACAAAATAGACCTCAAAGTGAAGGCCATAACAAGAGATAAGGAAGGCCACTTCATAATACTAAAGGGATCAATACAACAAGAAGATATAACCCTGGTAAACATATATGCACCCAATGCAGGAGCACCCAAATTCATAAAAAAACTCCTGGAAGATATCAAAGGAGACATCGACAACAATACAATCATAGTAGGGGACTTTAATACACCACTGACAGCACTGGATAAGTCCTCTAGACAAATAATCAGCAAAGATACAGCAATCCTAAATGACTCACTAGATCAGATGGACTTAATAGACATCTTCAGAACACTTCACCCGAAAGCCAGGGAATATACATTCTACTCAAATGCTCATAGGACTTATTCAAAAATAGACCATATATTGGGTCACAAGCAAAGTATCCCCAAATTCAAGAAAATTGAAATCATAAAAAGCGTCTTCGCAGACCACGATGGCATAATATTAGAAATAAACTACAATAAAAACAACCCAAAATACTCAAACACCTGGAAGCTGAATAGCATGCTATTAAATATTGATTGGGTTACCAATGAAATCAAAGAAGAAATTCGAAACATCCTGGAAACTAATGACAATGAAAACACAACAATCCAAAACCTATGGGACACAATGAAAGCAGTCCTGAGAGGGAAGTTTATAGCTCTACAGGCCTATCTCAACAAACAAGAAAAAATGGTAGTAAATCATCTAACTCTACAACTCAAAGAATTAGAAAGAGAGCAACAAGAAAACCCCAGAGTGAGCAGAAGGAAGGAGATAATAAAGATTAGAGCAGAAATAAATGACATAGAGACCAAAAAAACAATACAGAAAATCAATGAAACCAAGAGCTGGTTCTTTGAAAGGATAAACAAGATTGACAAACCTCTAGCCAGACTCACCAAGAAGCAAAGAGAGAGGACCCAAATAAACAAAATCAGAAACGATAGAGGCGAAATAACAACAGACCCCACAGAAATACAAATGATTGTTAAAAAATACTATGGACAGCTCTACTCCAACAAACTAGACAACCTGGAGGAAATGGACAAATTCCTAGAAAAATACAACATTCCAAAACTCAATCAGGAAGAATCTAAAAATCTCAACAGGCCAATAACTATGGAAGAAATTGAAGCAGTCATCAAAAAGCTTCCAGCAAACAAAAGCCCAGGACCAGACGGCTTCACAGGGGAGTTTTACCAAACATTCAAGGAAGAACTAAAACCTATCCTCCTCAGACTACTACAAAAAATTCAAGAGGAAGGAACACTTCCAAGCTCATTCTATGAAGCCAGCATCACCCTAATACCAAAACCAGGTAAAGACAACACAATGAAAGAGAATTACAGGCCAATATCCCTCATGAACATAGATGACAAAATCCTCAACAAAATCTTAGCAAATCGGATCCAGCAGTACATCAGAAAGATCATACACCATGACCAAGTAGGATTTATCCCAGGGATGCAAGGATGGTACAATATCTGCAAATCAATAAATGTGATACATCACATAAACAAATTGAAAGAAAAAAACCACATGGTCATATCAATTGATGCAGAAAAAGCATTTGACAAAATTCAACACCCATTTTTGATAAAAGCTCTCAGCAAGGTGGGAGTAGAAGGATCATACCTCAACATAATAAAAGCCATATATGACAGGCCCACAGCCAACATCATACTCAATGGACAAAAACTAACACCATTT